TCTCTCTCTCTCTCTCTCTCTCTCTCTCTCTCTCTCTCTCTCTCTCTCTCTGTGTGTGTGTGTGTGTGTGTGTGTGTGTGTGTGTGTGTGTGATAATACGAATCTCATTTTCACATAAGCAATGCAACACACTTGATATGGCCCTCCTGACTCACACAGGTTCACACAGACTCACCCAGACTCAACCAGACTCACACAGACTCAAACAGACTCCAACAGACTGAAACAGAGTGACACAGACTCACCCAGACTGCTACAGACTAACACCGACTCACACGGACTCACCCAGACTCACCCAGACTCACACTSACTCACACTGACTCACACAGACTCACACTGACTCACACTGACTCACACTGACTCAAACAGACTGACAGAGACTCACCCAGACTCACACAGACTCACACAGACTCACACAGACTCACACAGACTCACACAGACTCAAACAGACTGACACAGACTCACCCAGACTCACAGAGACTCACCCAGACTCAATCATTGCGTGTTTCCCCGCCTAATTCACACAATCTCACACTGACTCACACTGACTCACCCCGAATCACCCTGACTCACACTGACTCACACTGACTCACACGGACTCACACGGACTCACACGGACTCACATTGACTCACCCAGAATCACCCAGAATCACCCAGACTCAGACAGACTCATACAGACTCACACAGACTCAAACAGACTCTGACAGACTGACACAGACTCACACTGACCCACATGGACTCACGCAGACTCACCCCGACTTACACAGACTGACCCAGACTCACAAAAAGCCAGACGGAATCACACAGACGAAACCAGACTCATCACAGAGTCGCACAGACTGCAGGGACTCGTACGAACTCACACCGACTCACCTAGACTCACAATGACCCACATGGACTGACACAAACTCACCCAGAGTCACATAGACTCACCCAGGCTCACCCAGACACACACACACATACACGGACTCACACAGACTGACACAAACTGAAGTAGAGTCATCACAGACTCGAACGGACTGATACGGACTCAAACAGAGTGACGCAGACTCAAACACAGTCAAGTCCTTTAGATGAGCTTCGAACACTTTAGACGAGCTATCCCTACAGTAGGGTCAACCTTTCAACAGGGTTGGGTACTGGGCGTCGTTTACCAAATGATGGCGAGAGCTTTCATGTTGAAATAAACCGCACTTGCCAACCAGACATTTATTTTCACTTGCATCTACGCGTCTGTGCACATGTGCTCGTGACTCTTGATACGTCAGGATAATTTTCACTCATTCTATGGGGAAGTGTTAACTTGCATGAAAACTCACCGATTTTTCTGTCGATAAACAAGTGTGACGATCCATGCATCACCGATGTCCACATGGCCAATGAGACGCGCACAAGCGGACAAACATACGAAACGAAAACACAATGTCATTATCACACATCATTGGTTAATCCC